GAGCGTGACGACTTTTCGGATTGATATATTGATTTTGACTTGCTGCACGAAGATTATCGCGCTTTCTTCTTATCTAGATGTATCGCTCAGGCTTGTCCAAAATTTCCATAAAAGGAGTCCATGAAAGGAGAGGGGGGAGAGTTCCAAGTTTGAAACCACTGCACCTTCAAGAAACAATTTTATGAAAATCAAGAATTCAACGCGTTGTCTTTGATGGCATATTGTTGATGTACCAAGCGTATAGCTTTTTACATTTTTTCTTGAGTGTGTCGGCAATTTCTCCGATAGATACGTCGATTTTTCGACCTAATGTACCGTTCTCCCGCTTCCTTATTGTCTAGGAGTGGACATGTCGTAAAACATTGGTAAATCGAATAAAATACTTTAGGCAATTTTCCTCATATTTTCTTTGTCTAGAGCAAAAGCTTACTGAAAGACTTGTAATGAAATTGTACATTATAAGAAGGCGACCCGGTCCCTTAAGTGCCTTTACGTGACATTTATACTAATCAAACGAAACAAGTTCACAAAGAAAGAGCTTTTTGTTGATCTTAAGAGTCTTTTAATCATCTGGTTTGCCTTATATAGAAAATTGTTGCCTGTGACTTCTCGAGAGGGCATTAAATAGGAAAAAAGGAGATGAATATGTCTGCGTAATGCTAACACATCACGCTATGTCATACAACATCCACAATGATTCAAAGTGGAGCACACTTTTACAGATTCTTGCCACAAACTGAATTCTAACAAAGAAGGCGAAAATAATATTAGACTTCATTTGATGCTACAGAAGTCAGGGCCTCTCGGAAATATTCGAAAAGAATCCTTTTGTACAAAACATCTGGATTTTCGATAGTCTAAAATTCTGCAAAACGACCAACGTTCATCGCAATTGTTTTGACCTCTGCTCGTGCATGATAATTATGAAAAGCTATTTCGGTCGCAAATGATGTGTTCATTGGACCTTGCGGAATATTTGGCTCATTTCCAACGTTATAACGAACAGACGCTATTTTTGGATTATAAATGTCACGTAGGGGATTTCTACTTATTTTTTGAGAGTTTGCATGCATTTGCGGTGTCGACAACACTTGCGTGTAAGAAATAATGATGGGTCTCGACTTGAAGATAAGAGCACTACTGCCATTTCGCGCAATTTTGTTTACATTAAATACAAGGCTATTTTTCCGAGCAGATGTTGTCAACAATGCATTAATTCCTCCTATTTTGTACGTTATTCAAGCAGTTTTCAAGATGTGGTGCATTTGCGGTGAACACAACACTGGCGCGTGCAAAATGGAAACTTAATACTATGCGCTCTAATAATTGAATACTAAGCTATTTTTTCGCGCAAATGTTGTCAACACCACAAACGCACCATAAATTTCTCAAATCTAATCAAGTCCTTTTTTGGGACCACAAAAAAGGCGCATATCCAACCCCGCAAAGAACGAACAGCATTCGTCCAAGTAAAAAACTCTCTATTTTATATGCTCTGAGAATGTATTTCAGCAGATTTAGTGCATCTGCGTTGC